CCCCTTTGCGGTCGTCCCCACGGCCAGCAAGCCCGGCTTGCACACACGTTACGTGTTTAAAAGCACGGAGTTCTTCAGGGCTGGGCCCTGTTGACCTCTACCTCCCTGAGGCTCAACAGAACTCAGTTATTCCCCAGTGGGTCGCCCCGCGCCTACTGACTGGTGCCGTTTCCCCGCGACGAACCAGACTGGTAGGCGCTGGGGCGATGGTTCGAAGAACCTTGGCGCACCATGTGCAGGGGCAACCGTTCCGCAGGTGATGGGTTTCTCCACAGTTACTAACACCGTCGTAATTGTGTATGCTGCCCGGTAGCTCGGAGCTCTGCTTCCTCGTCCTCAGTATTGCTGAGATCCATGGGCATAGGCCCGCTCGGCGAGCTGTTGGACTGTGCATTCCAACCATGCCGTGCCGACTTGAAATTAAATTCGGCAATCAATGCCACATTAAACCCCTCGTCAAATGAGGACGGATGCACACGGAAAACTTCCATTCTGGCCACGCAGTGCGGAGGCCTTCCATAAAGACGATCACTGTGACTGCCTTAGAAAAGAGATCTGCTGCCATCTCGGCAATGAGAGTTCACATCTCTTAGACAAAGTCTACCAATTCCTAGTTGCCCTGTCTAGCGGCAAAGAAACGCGATCGCGCGCGATACGCCTGATTAGGCGGCGAAAACACTCGTGAGAGCTACAATTTCAGCTCCGCCCAGTAGGGAAACGCAGCTTCGACCGAAGTGCCACACATCAGTGCCCAGTCTCGCGCTCAACCGCCAAGTTTGAGATGGCTAGCCCCATGCGCTGTTGCTCGGTCTGGAACATGGCGGATGCGATGGCCATCACATCCTCTATCGCCCAGAGCAGGAGATCTTCTCCATTCCTCCCCTCAAAGACCTCAAAGCTCACCAAGAGCGACTTAGGGCGGGGGAAATCATCCGGTACTGGCGGTGGCGTCATAGACGCAAATGTAGCAGACATCTCCTGCTGCAGGTTCTCTAGCAGCGCGTTTTCGTAATTTGAAAACGCCTCTAGACGCGCACCAATTGTCTCGAGGCCTTGCGCAGCATGGTGTTGCACGCCCTCATGGCACAGCAAGAACACCAGCTTCTTAAGCACGTCCTGCATGCCCTGGGGCAAAGATGAAAATTGTTCCATTCTAAGAAGATCAATCTAAACGACTTAGGTGTAGATTGACTAAAAGTGCTACCAAGTGCAGCGGGGCTGCCGTAGCTTTGCGCTTAGAGGAAGCGTAATTTA